TCAATTCTATTCCATTGGTCTATGTATCTGTCATTGAACCAATACCAGGCAGTTTTGACTACTGTGGCTATGTAGTAGGTTTTGAGATCTGGCAACGTGAGACCTCCTACTTGTTTTTCTTCTTCAATAGTGCTTTGCTTATCTGAGGTCTCTTTCCGAAAGAAATATTTTTAAAGTATGTCCAGATTTCTTTATGTTCCAAAAGATCTGATGAATATTGATCTTGTTCTACAGAGAACAAAGATGAATCCTTTACAACTTTTACATCCTTTACAACTTTAATCTTTTCTCTATTTATCATATTGCTTATTGGTCTAGGTGTGAGGATTTTTGTTTTCTTTATGTTGAGTTTTAATCCATACTGAAGGTTGTAGTCTTCGATCTTCATCAGTAAGTGCTTCAAGTCTTCTTCACCTTCAACAAGTAAGATTGTATCATCTGCATATCACAGGTTATTAATGAGTCTTACTCCAGTCCTGATGCCACGTTCTTCGTATTTTTCAGCATCTTGGATTATTTGCTAAGCATACAGATGAGTAAGTATGGTGAAAGGGTACAATCCTGGTGCATACCTTTCCTGATTTTAAACCATGCAGTGTTCCATTATTCTGTTTGAAAGACTGCTTCTTGGTCTACATACAGTTTCCTTATACATACAATTAAGTGTTCTGGAATTCTGTTCTTCTCAATGTTAGCCAGAGTTTGTTATGATCCACATAGTCAACTGCTTTTGCATAGTCAATAAAACACAAGTAAACATCTTTCTGGTATTCTTAGCTTTCACCCAAGATTCATCTGATATCAGCTATGATGTCCCTTGTTCCACATCCTCTTCTGAATCAGGCTTGAATTTCTGGCAGTTCTTTGTCAATATATGCTACAACTGTTTTTGAGTTATATTCAGCAAAATTTTAGTTATGTGTGATATTGTTCAATAATTTCCACATTCTGTTGGATCAGCTTTCTTTGGAAAGGGCACAAATATGGGTCTTTTCCAGTTGATTGGCCAGGTAGCTGTCTTCCTGATATCTTGGCATAAATGAGTGAGTACCTCCAGCACTGCATCCATTTGTTGAAATGTCTCAATGGGTATTCCCCTAGTTCCTGGACACTTGTTTTTTTAACCAATGCCTTCAGTGCAGCTTGAACTTCTTCCTTAGATACTGTTAGTTCTTGATCATATGCTGTCTTCTGAAATAGTTGAAAGACAACCAATTCTTTTTGGTACAGTGATTCTATGTATTCCTTCCATCTTCTTTTGATGCTTCCGTTATCATTCAGTATTTTGCCCACAGAATTCTTCAGTATTGCAACTCAAGGCTTGAAATTTTCTTCAGTTCTTACATCTTTGAGAAATGCCAAGCATGCTCTTATCCTTTGATTTTCTAACCCCAAGTCTTTGCATATTTCATTATAGTATTCTTCTTTGTCTTCTTGAGCCACCCTTTGAAATCTTCTGTTCAGCTCTTTCACTTCATCATTTCTTCCTTTTTCTTTAGCTACTCTCCTTTCCAGAGGAAGTTTCAGAGTCTCTTCTCTGAAGACATCCATTTTAGTCTTTTCTTCCTTTCCTGTCATTTTGATAACTTTTTGCTTTCTTCATGTATGATGTCCTTGATATCATCTTACAACTTGTCTGGTCTTTAGTCTTTCATGTTCATTGTGTCAAATCTATTCTTGAGATGGTCTCTGAATTCAAATGGTATAACTCAAGGTTGTATTTTGGCTTTCATGGAGTTGTTTTAATTTTCTTCAACTTGTATATGAGCAAATGATTATGTGTTCCACAATCAATCCCTGGCCTTTTTCTGACTGGTGCCTTTGGGCTTCTCCATTGTCTCTTTCCATAGATATGATCGATTTGATTATGTGTACTCTGTCCAGTAGGAGCTCTGGTGGTGTAGTGCCTAAGGCACTTGATTGCTAACCAGAAAGCTGGCAGTTCAAACCCACCAGCCACTCCTCGGAAGGAAGGTTGGGTAGTCTACTGCTTTAGTGATACAGCCTTGGAAACACAAGGAGGGGTCAAGTCAGATCCAATTTGACAGCAGTGTGTTTGTTTTTTTTTTGGTACTCTGTCCAGTGAGGTCTACGTGTATAAAAAACCAACCCAACTCATTGCCATCGAGTCAATTCTGACTTATAGCGACCCCCATTGGGTTTCTGAGGCAGTAAATCTTTGTGGAAGTAGATTGCCCGGTCTTCCTTCCACAGAGCACCTGGTGGGTTTGAAGCACCAGCCTTCTGGCTAGCAGTTGAATGCCTTAGGCATTGTACCACCAGAGCTCCTTTCTACATGTATAGTCACTGTTTCTGGTGTTTAAAAGAGGTATTTGCAATGAATAAGTTGTTGGTCTTGCAAAATTCTATAATGCAATCTCCAGCATCATTTCTATCACCAAGGCCATATTTTCCCACTATCAATACTTCTCCTTTGATTCCAACTTTCACATTCTAATCACCAGTAATTATCAGTGCATCTTGATTCATGTTTGGTCAATTTCAGACTGCAGAAGTCGGTATAAATCTCCAATTTCCTCATCTTTGGCTTTGGTGGTTGGTGTGTAAATTTGAATAATAGTAGTATTAACTGGTTTTCCTTGTAGGCATATGGATATTATCCTATCATTATTATCATATTATACTATCATTATATCTTCAGCTGTTTCTTCTCATCTTGAGCCATGCCACATCAGCAAATGAAGGTCCTGAAAGTTTTAAACCATCAGCATCATTAAAGTTGATCTGTGTTGAGGTGGCAGCTCTTCCACAGTCATATTTTGAGCACCTTCCAGCATGAGGGGCTTATCTTCTGGCACTATATCAGGCAGTATTTCACTGTTGTTCATAAGGTTTTCTGGCACTGTATCAGAAAGTGTTTTACTGCTATTCATAAGGTTTTCAGTGGCTATTTTTTTCATTAGTGCATTGCCATGTCCTTCTTCCGAGTCTGTCTTAGTCTGGAAGCTCTGCTGAAACCTGTCCACCATGGGTGACTCTACTGGTATTTGAAATATTGGTGGCATAGTTTCCAGCATCACAGCAACATGCTAGCCACCACAGTATGCCAAACTAGGAGAGGAGTGGTAGCTCACAGACATAAGAAGTCAGACACAAAAGATTGATGATTCCCTTTGTATAAAGTTCAAAAATAGGCAAAATAAAACCTCAAATATTAAGAGGACAGACTAGTGGTCATCCCTAGGGAGAACAGAGGAGATACTTCCTGGACTGAGGAAGGTTCTGGAATCTTCTATTTCTTGCCTTGGGTGGCGTGGTGACAAGGATAGATTCACTTTGTGATTTATTAAGCTGAATGATTCCTGAATTATGCTTTTTTGTATGTGAGAATGTTATACTTATTGAAGGAAAATAGCATGTACTATTAAATCTCTGAACTTTCAAAAGATAGGTTTCAAATGATTGGACAATGGAAATTTGTCCAAAATAATCTAGTTTGCCATTTCTGGATGTGACATTCTTCCATGCCAGCTCCAATTTATTTTATTTTATATATTGCTTTTGTTTTGTTTACAGTGTTACATAAAAATAAAATAATATCTGCTGACTATAAAAACCAGTCACTGAAAATGTATATTTATGTTATTAATTTTTGATGTAGGCGTTTATACAAGAAATAGAAATTTTCGCCTATATAAATCATCAAAAATAGGAAAACATGTGGCTTTGGAAGTTGCTGAAGATAACAAATTTTTTCCTACACAATCAAAGAATATTTCCAAAGAAAACCAGTATTTCCTCTCTTCTTTGGTCAGCAATGTCAGGTATATAGCACCAAAATTAAGCTGTTTTGTATTTATGAATATTTAATAAACAGTGAATGTTATTAAAGTGTGAAATGTATAAATTTATTCTGCCTTAAAAAAATATCAGTTCTTAAAATTCTAGGTTAATTATTCTTTTCTCCATTAACTGAAAAATAGTAGTAGTAAAAGGAATTTTTTTAACGATTTAGTTTTCTCTTTCATGATTATATATCATATATTTTCTCATTTTTCTAGAAAATGATTATCATGTATATAAAGAAGGAAATAAAAGCTATAATTACTGACACTTTTCATTTATGCGTATACATATATATGATTTACATAGCTTTTTCAAAGTATTTCTTGAGATGATTGTTTATATACTTTCAACACCTTTTTTTTCCACTCAACATTATATCATGGCTATTTTGTCAAGTTAATAATTTGCCAACAGTAAATTATAATATAACTTTTAATGCCTGTATAATCTTATTACACTGATATACTCTAATTTATGGTCAGTTCTGCTGTCAAACATTTAGGTTCTCAATTGGTCATTTAAAACAAAGTGTGAAAGACATCTTTTCAATAGGAGTATTGGTCTCATTCCTATTCATTCTGGGCTAGCAAGAGATTTTGTCAGCCCCAAAAATGTGATTAAGGATTATATTAACTTGCCATTAACTTGCTATAATTCTCTTATTTTTGCTTTCCTTAGACACAATTTTAAGTAAAAATTCCTTAGATTATAACTTTCATAATGAATATTTAGAGTTCATGACTATAAGGAAAATTGTATCATATTGTTTACTATTAACAGTGGTTAACCAGCAGAGTGGGAAGATGGATTATTTTTCTACATATATTAATGAGCTCTGGTGGTATAGTGGGTAAGGCATTTGGCTACTAGCCAGAAGTTCAGCCATTCAAACCCACCAGCTGCTCTGAAGGAAAAAGATGAGGCAATCTACGTCCGTAAAGATTTACAGCCTTGGAAACCCAGTGGGGATCGCTATGAGTTGGAACTGACTCTATAGCATTGGATTTGGTTTTTTAATCTCTGTATTGTTTGAATTACTTTCATATCACATTTCAGAGGCAAAAACAGAGGCTTTGCTTCCTCACCTCTAAAACGGGAATAATAACACCTTATTCATGAGATTGTTATGATATGTTTAAACTGTACCTGTGAAATAGTTAGCACATGGTATCTGCTCAGTAAGTGTTAGTTGTAAATAGGCTGGTGGCAGAAGTAGTAGAATAGTAGTAGAGTTATAAAATTTGTGTAAGTCTTGCCACCTCCAGTTGTTGACACCAAAATAAAAAAAAAAAAAAACCTTCACTGTCATCGAGTAGCATTATTTCTGTCATTTGTGGGGAAAGCAGTGTGGTTGGTCTGCAAGTACAGCCTGAGTTAGAAAACGGCTCTCCTTCCCCACACCCGCTATCTCAGTATTAATGTCACAAAAGGAGAAGTTTCTTGTACTGAATTGGGGTATCCTAACAGATTTCTTCCATGTATCCAAAAAAATACCAGATATTCTTCTTCCTGAAAGAAAGGTTAAATTAAATTCTCTATGGTTATGTACCTTTCATTCAGTTCATTTTATTCCATCTTTCCTTTTGTGCTCATAAAAAAAAAATAATTTCTTCATTTCTTTCTATTATATCACAACTTCTAAATTATTGTAACAAAAATTTCAAAGGCTCAGGAATAGGATTATACTTCATTCTATAGCTTCAGCAGTCCTAGAGTCCTCTGATTCTCTCTGGAATTAAGGGAAATATTTTAAATACTCAGGTACATTTTTTAAATCTATGTAGGAATGGAGCTTTTGTGAGTAACTATGGCATAAGAGTCCTAGAACAAATAGCTATTGAGGAAAGAATTTTAATATGGAACTGTTTGGAATTCAGTTTCTTTTCTGTTGCCACGCTTCTTTAATTCTGTTATAATGTTCAGTTGTTTCTTCTACATATTTTCTTTTTTCAGGTTCTCAGATACTTTACGAATTCTTACATGTGACACATCTCAGGATAAACAAAAACATGTGGAATATTTTAACCATAGCAACATTTCAGGTAATTTTAAGAAAATAATTTCCTATCAAAATTTAAAAATACAAAATCTCTCTTGCCTTAAAAATCTTAAATCATAAGTATTCATATCTACTGAGCCTTTAAAACTACCTTTAGGTTCCTGTCCAAAATGGGGAATATGTAAAAAGATGTTTATTAAAGCATTATTCACTAATTTGCATTTTTTAGTGTTTAAAAATAATACAAAAATAACATAGGTTGTAAAATGAAAATATGGACATAATAAAAGAAAAATTAAAAGATCACCTTTCTGCTCATGAAGAGAAATAACCACTGTGAATAATTTCCTATTTAACCTGGCAGAATTTTCTTGTATTTCTAATATATGGAGATCATCATCATTTTTTAAATGGCCGCGTAGTTTTTCATAATATAAACCCACTACCATTGAGTCCGTTGCGACTCCCACTGGGTTTCCAAGACAGTGAATCTTTATGGAAGTAGATTACCCCATCTTCCTTCCACAGAGCGGCTGGTGGGTTTGAACCACAAATTCTGGTTAGCAGTCAAATACCTTAAGCACCACCCCACCAGAACTCCTTTTTCATAGTATGGCTGTATCATGGTTTACCCACTCTGGTACTGAAAGAGCATACAGGTTTTTTCTAAGATTTCTTACATAAATTCTCCAGTAAACATTTTTATACGTATGCTTTGGTATAGTGTTACTTCTGACAGTGAAAAACTGAAAACAATCTAAGTCTACAGTAAAATAGGATTGTTTGCTTAATATGAAATACTCTGTAGCTACTAAAATTAAATTCATAAATCTTATATAATGATAGGGAAAATACCCATTTGTGATGTTAAGAGAAAAAGTAGGTTCTGAAATTATATGTATGATATGATTACAAGTTTATTAAATATCGAAAACATTTTCGTATATGTTTCTGTTCTTCTGGTAGTTTAAAATTATTGTTTCCAGGCATTAATTTGTAGCTTGTTTTTCTTTCTACTTGAACATATATTCCGAGATTTCTCCAGTTATGTATATTAATTTTGTAATTGAAATATAAGCTTTATTTTAAGAAAACTAAGTTATTATGTCTTCAAAAATTAAATGAGAATTTAAATCAATTACTCTAAATTATTAGAATGGATTCTTAGATACGAGCTGTAACTGAATTGTCAGTGCCCTCCAGTTACAACCACTAAGGAGTACTCCTGCAGTGCACAAGTTGGATTCATTACATGTTGCATCAAGAGAGAACACACACCCTCTCAGTGAAAAGGTGTTCCTGAGGATTTAGGCTTTGATGAGGTGACATGGGCGAGTATCCAAGGAAGCAGGAAATTGCTGTGCATTGTGCATGCTGTGAGGGACATTTCTGTGATTGGGTGTCTTAATTTTTTTTTTTTTAAAAAGAAGCCATTGCCATCGAATCAATTCTAACTCTTTGTGACCCTATACTCTACATGCTTGGTAAAGTAGAGGATGAGAAAAAGGGCAAGACCCTCAACAGATGGACTGACACATGGCTGCAGCAGTGGGCTCCAACATAGAAACGGGCCAGCCCCTGGATATCAGGGCTGCTGCTTTTCTCTTTCTCAGAATGAAGAAAGCAGTCGACATGATTTCAAATGCTTTTTATAAAATTCCTTGAAGAATCCATAAGGATTCTTGACATAACTAAAAGGCAGATTACAACAAATTAAAAAAAAGGCAGAGAGGTTGCAAAATTCATAATGGCACTAAACACTTCAGTAAAAATTTAACTCCTCAACTTTTAATTATCAGGATTTATAAATATTTTTTCTCTCTGTTGCAGTAGAAACCATTGAAGGCTTTCAGTGTTCACCTTATCCTGAAATTGATCGTTTTGTTTGTTCTTTGGTGAATAAAAATGGCATTCAAGGAGGTAACAATAATCTTAACTATTATTAAGTACTATATGATAGAGTATTAGTACCTTTAGAAACATTGTTTGCATTTTAGGAATTCGGCGTTGGAACTACTTTTTTCCAGAAGAATTATTGGTTTATGACATTTGTAAGTATCGCTGGTGCGAAAACATTGGAAGAGCCCATAAGAGTAATAATATCATGTAAGTAATATTACTTAATAATATTACACTTTAAATGTTTATCATTTCTTAATAGTTGAGAATATAAAGATATAATAAAAATGTAATAAATTTAGTTAATAAATTCAATTTATATTTGTCGTATGTGATTGGTATTTGATAATACTCAGCTTGAATATCTTAATTATTACATTGTCCTTGTACATAGCAGCTTTCTTTATACTTTATTTGTTAAATAACCCTGTAGATAGTATAATCTTGAGAAGACCAAGGTAGAATTGATGAGAGCTAGAAACACAAGAAAAGAAGCTCTGGTAGTGCAGTGGTTAAAGCATTCGGCTGCTGGCCAAAAGGTCGGAGGTTTGAACCAACCAGGTGCTCTGCAGGAGAAAGATGAGACGTCTGCTTCTGTAAAGATTTACACCCTTGAAAGCCCTATGAGGCAGTTCTACTCTGTCCTATAGGGTTCCTATGAGTCTGAATTGACTCGGTGGCAGTGGGTTTGTTTTTGTTGTTGCTGTTTAGAAAGAGAAGACAGGCAGTAGACTGGTGAAAAATTATGATAGAAAGGTATGCTATTACCTACTCTGTTGCTATTAGCCATTGACACCTTATGAAGTCTAAAGTTTAAATTAGGCGGTTTGCACAGGAAAGAAATTGCCCAGTTAATATGAAGAGCTGGAGATTAAAATGGAAAAGACCGTATACAGCCTCATGTTGTTAGGTGCCATGGAGTTGGCTCCAACTTAGAGTGACCTTGTGTATAACAGTATAAGTTGCCTGAGCCTGTGCCGTCCTCACAGTTGTTTCTGTGTTTGAGCCCACTGTTGCAGCCACTGTGTCAATTGAGGGTCTTCTCCTTTTTCACTGAACCTCCACCTCACCAAGCATGATGGCCTTCTTCAGGTGCAGTCCCTCCTGATAGCATGTCCAAGTACGACAAAGTCTCGGCGCCCTCATTTCTAAGGAGCATTCTGGCTGTACTTCCTCTGAGATAGATTTGTTTGTTCTTCTGGCAGTCCCTGGTGTACTCTATATTCTTCTCCAACATTGCAATTTAAACACATTAGTTCTTCCGGGTTTTCCTTTATTGTCCAGCTTTCATATGCAGATGAGGGTTTCAAGAATACTGTGGTTTGGGTCAGGCACAACTTAGTTTTTATCGAAGTGACATCTTTGCTTTTTAACACTTTAAAGAGGTCTTTTGCAGCAGTTTGCCCAATGCAATGTATGGTTTGATTTCTTGACTGCTACTTCTTCCATGGGCATTGATAATCAGAGAAGCATGAAATCCTGGAAAATGTCAGTTTCTTCTCCATGATCATGATGTTGTTTATTTATCCAGTGATGAGGATTTTCATTTTCTTTATGTTCACACATA